GAAGGGAATTAATTACCTAAATTTTACCCAACGGAAGATAAGGTTTAAAAAAAAAAAAAAAAAAAAGAAAGAGAGAGAGATTATTTCGTTTTGCCTTCTCTCGTGACTACATCATAAGCGCGGTAAATTTATCATGATCACTGAGCGGCTATACATATATTCATGATCACACCGACATTCCGTTGTGAGCTCCCGATTAGTATGGAGCAATTGATAAGGCACAGCATCCGGCGTGTAAAAAGTACGTGCCTCGCGTGCTCGGTTGCGTGAGTTAATAAGCGATGTGAATGACTTAAAGGTATTTAACCGCGTTAAATAATGTACGCGAGTGCGCTAGAAACTCACTTTACTTGTTGGTTGGCATCGAAATACATAAATTTCTTACTATTCTCCGCGGTCAGACGGAAAAATTAAATATCAGGTCGTACGTGTAAGTACAATGTTATTTTTTGTTTTAAAAATCGCACTCATTTTACGGAGTAGGCAATAATAACGTGAACACACGGTGTGTTTGCGAAAAATATATAATTATCTTTTTTATTAATCATTTCTTAGATTATTTGTGAATTAATTAGACGATTAGACATGTTAATTAGAGCGTGAATCTGCGTCGGAAAGTACATGGAAAGTGTATCGAAAGTACGCGATCAGTACGATCGAAACATCTGTCGTGCATAACTCTCTAATGATTATATCGAAAATGCATTATTTAATTCTGACAGAGCGAGAGAGAAACACAAGACAGTGAAATAATAATGAAGTAATAATTCATGCCATATTTACCAAATAGGAAATAATCGCGATAATAGATCGTAAGTAGCATACATACGAAAGAAAAGTGTGCAAATTAATACAATGCGATAGGATGTACTAGATGGACACATGCGGAGGAAAAATAGCCATTATTTTTATATTCCCCTCGTTTTCGCTCGAAAGAATCAGGAAAGGAGTTTCCGCGTGGCTGTTGTTGAGGGAATCTACCGATGCCGAGCAATGTACTCGCGATCGGGCGGTAACTTTAAAAAAAAAAAACGGCACGTGAAGTACAGTAATCGAGAAAAATGTTGTATAAGGAAAATAAGCAGTAATAAGTACGAATAATGTATCAATGTTAACAACAAAAAGATACATACTTTTACATCTTGTTTATATCTTATATATAAAACTACATCATCATTAATTGTTTAAACAAAATATTATGTATATATATATATACACTCTCTCCTTCTTTCTTTATAATTTTTTTTATTTACTAAATTAAAATATTATATTATTCTCCCTTTGCATAAAAAAATATATAGACACGCAAGTGTCATTTATTAAATTAATATTAATTAAAGGAAGCTAAATCGGTAACATTTTTAATTATCGTGTAGTTCGCCCCAGGTGCTGGCTTCATCGAATGAAGCCAGCACGCAAAACTGCCGGAACGATTGAAGACGGACGGACGGACGGACGGACGTTAAATCGGTTCGAACGGGGAACGAAGAAGGGGCAGATGGAATGTAGCGAATGGGGTCGCTGCCGTTGAAGGCAAACGACTGCGCCCCTGGCTCCTCCTGGCAAGTTGCCTTCGAATGCCACGGAACGGACGGAAAACGGTATCCATTCACATTCTCTAGAGTGACTAATTCGCGCTGTCTCCTACATGACGCATGTGTACGTGATTGAAGACCATCATCACGTATCGCGTATGTATTAGAAAATTCGATCATTTATATTTCTCGAGTATAGAAATTTCATGATATCTGATTTCTTCAAGTGTCAGATAGCAAATCCTTCAAAAATGTACATTTTACGTAACGTACTTTATTCATTCATACACCGATAGGAAATATATTTGGAGGGAGTGTTAAGTTTTGCAAATAGATAATTTCATGGTGAGATTCATTGATAGATAATAATTAAGACGATAAAATTGTATACAGATTGTATTGTAGTATCTTTCTCCTTCACGTAGATCTATTTAATTTTATTATTTTTATTTATTTATTTATTTTTATTTAAAACGACACAAATAAAAAAGAATGAAATTATTTATTTAATTAAAAAAGAATTACATGTGACATAATTGATTCGCTGTGTTCGTACATTGTTCGATATTTTCTTGCTTAACTTAAATAAATTAATCTCTTAACAATGTACAAACAACTCACAGATACTTTGTGTTTCCATCAACTTAACTTTCAAAATGGACAGAATCTTTCATCTTTGACGAACAAACATTGTAAATAAGATGAAATTATTTAATGTGTAATTTCTTTAAATTATAAATGATGCAGTTTAATAATTACACTTAACGAAGAGACGGTAGCAGGGTTCCTCTGGTTGGACTAAAGTTATAAACGGTTTATCATCGCGCATCGTTATCCACGTATCGATATTTAATCGTATCATGTAGAAATTATCACGAGACGGAACGACAGATTTATTAAAAGTTTGATATTCATAATCAATTGTTCCGTTTGCATAGCCGCTCTTTTGGCATACACTTGCCGCTTCTTCTTGTGACGTTATTACTGATGGATAACATCGAGTGTGCCATATGCCATAGGATCGCTGCATCACTTCACCTGCGTCAGGTCTGAAAAACAATTTCATCAAAATTCTAGATATATAATCATATATATATATATTTATATATATATATATATTAATTTAATTTCATTAATAACAACAATATTATGTCTCATCAATATAACAACAATTTTATAGCACATCCAATTAATTCTTACTTGGTATCTGTAAGATTTTTCACCATAATACATTTCGTTTCATCTTCGCCGTTCGGACAATCATTGTCACCATCGCACACGAAATCTTGCGGAATGCAAGTAACATTTTCTTTGCTGTCTCTGCACATAACATACGTTTATATATATAATTATTGATTATAGTAATTTTCTCAAAATTTATTATTTATTTCGGCAATACTTTTTGTGATCAGAATACTTGAAGTACGAGAGACATTTTACTATATGTAATATATCGAGTCGATTATCAATCTTACGTGTTGCATATGAAACTAGTTTCGAGGCATTGACACTCTTCTGGCGATTCATCGGTTTTATCGAAACAATGTCGCACCCCATCACACAATCGTTCCGGGGCAGTTAGTCTTAAGTATTCCGCACAGCTGCATATCGCAGGTTCGTCCGTTCCATCGGAGCAATCGACTTTACCGTCGCAAAATTCTCCCTTCGAAATACATTCGCCATTTTTGCATTGTAACTGCGACTTCGTGCATTCTATATATAAAAAAAAATGGATATCACAAAAATGGGCTTCATACGCCATTAAAAATTAATACATACACAATTAGAAAATAATTATTAATAGATTTGATATGATCAATAATTATATTAAATTTCTAATTAATCCAAAATAAAATTACTGTAATCGAGTCCGTTTCTTCTTCTGATCTGTTGCACTTTACGTAAACATATTTCACTCTTCTCGTCCGCACCATCTCGGCAATCCGGTATATCATCGCACACTTGATTCCAAGGGACACATTGCCCGATATTGCAACGAATACCATCGCATGCGGCTTCAGGTGTTGGCTGCGGCTCCATCTCTGTAATATTATGGCGAGAAAATTAAATCACAATCATGTAAAATTAATAAAAAAAGATTGCGGATATTTTCATATGTCTACGTGACAGCTTACCCAAAGCTTGCGTGAGATAGGCATGGATGTAATCGATGCTCGTCAAATTCTGCGTGCTTTGGAAGCTGCACGGGCCATCGCTTTCGTAAAATACAGCCGCAGGATACCATGCTTTCTTACCGCGACAAAATACCAATCCGCTCCAGTTCGAAGAAGTTTCATTTGCCTAAAGCGCATACAAAGATGCAAATTCGACTGCGATGCATATTTGATGTATAAAAATAATGAATAAAAAAAAATCAGTTCGATCATTACGAAGCTATTTACCGGACATTGGATGCCTAAAGCTTTGACGAAACAACGATAGCACTTATCGCAATCTTGAAGGATTGGTTCAAGAAAGATCGATTGCGTTCTATATTCATCGTCTGTACCAACTGCGACGCATAAATCGTCTTTCTCCGGTGGGTATATTCTGCGAAAATTCGACAATTAGCCACGAACACATAATATTTGATAAAAGATAAATTATCAAAATACACACTTTTTCTCCAGAAACAGCGGCTGCACGTAACGCGTGAAATTCACTGCAGTTTTCAAGTGGAGCAACGAAACATCTGAATTTTTCACGTCTCTGATTTCGTCAACGGCCGATATCTGTTGATGGGGTCCGTCGACGTAGAGAAACGAGCGGCTTCGACCGAGCAGAGCTGTCGTATAATTCACCGATAATCTGCAATTTATTTTTTATTATTCGCATTTCTTTATCTCAATGTTTATCGGATCAGAAATCGGATCGAAAATAATCGCGAGGACAAAACGGAACGAAATAATCCCTAAACCTTTATAAAGTCTCTATTCGACACATCCGACAAGCATTTTAGATACAAGAAGAATCTTGAAGAAGAAGAAGAAGACAGGAGTCGCTTACCTGATATCGTCCGTGCAGCTCGAACTGGACAGGAGCCAGTCTGGTTCCAGGAGTAAGGCCGAGCAGTGATAACGACCGTCGACGAAGATGGCGGCCAGCCATGGCCACAGGTAGGTATTACTTTGGGTGTTCGGATCGACGACCAGGTGCGAGTCGGCGCTGCTGCTCAAAACCGGTCCGCAGCGAAATATATATGTCGAACACGTCTCGCCTTCCTCGCTCGCGACGTACTCCATTGAAGATTTGTAATCCGTCTCTTCGGTTGACGATTTGTAATCGTCACTTTGTAAGAATCTCATTTCCAGGTCCTTGCTGGTTATAACAGTCTCATCGAGTGATTGTAAACTCCTGTACACAGTTAATACGCCAATATGATTAATATTTTTAGATATATATAGATATATATTTCCTATGGGGGAATAATAAAAATAAGGGATTTTAATCGATATCAAGTAGATATTTGATTATTGAATTATTGTAGGACCGCTACGTTGTAAGTCTGCTAAAAATAGTGGCTGGTAATATAATTTTTTGAACTTATTTCATATAGAAAATTTAACAACCAAGGCCCTGCTTGCCGAGGAAATTGGTTATGGATTTCTCAATGTTTATTAACATACTTGACTTATATGTATTGTATGCTCATGTATTGTAATATTTTTAGATCTTCTTACGAATAATAAGAGTAATGTTAAAATATTGTCGAAGAGCAATAATCTTCGCGTTTGGAAAATTATATGTATGTAAATATCGGATTTTTATGAATCATCGAATATCTAATAATCAAACGTACGCAAATCCGAGATATTTGCATAAATTCTCTCCAAGCATTAATGATTTAGTGTTGTTCTTCAATATGTCTTGCTGAAAACAATCTAGATGCCACGTTTCATTGTAATATCTACCGAGCAGACCTTCTGAGTTCAAAATCGGTCGATCATCGCTATCTACGTTTACGTAATCTCCATCGATCAATGCAACTAAAAACAGAAAATAATCAATGTCACTTTTTTTTATACAAAATCATTAAGAATTTTAATCATATATATTAATCATATACATACGGCAATCAACCTCGTCCTCTCTTAGAGGGCAATCGAAAATTGCGTCACATTTCTTCGTCATTGGGATGCAACCTTTGCTTCGGCTGCAATGAAATTCGTCGTCCTTGCATATACCTGAAACGATCGTTTAATAAAATAAACCAACGAAACCAACGGCAAAATTATATTTCGATCAAATACCGCAATCTTTCTCATCCGTTTTGTCGTCGCAATCCAGCAGTCCATCACAAATCACTGTCGGTTGGAAATTTGATAAATAATCTCTGCACGTACAATCTTTTTCATCAGTGCCATCCTCGCAATCCAAATGTCTGTCACATCTCTTGTTAATTGTTATAGTTTGAATTAGACTGTGAATAAAACAAATAATTTGAAAATCTTAACTCAGCTTATCAAATACTTTTGAGCTTTTATATAGCAAGTTGATATGTCCGTAACTCACTTTTTGCATGTAAATGTTAATCTAACACTTGGCGTTGACATATATATTTCAGGTGTCGTTGCATAAATATTTTCGTTAGTTTCAGTTTGATAGGAGAAACGGGAAGTAGAAGAAGGAATTGTTTCCGTGCTTACTTCTGTAAAATTCCATGTTACTTCAAATTATTAATTATAAAATTCGAGGCTGCTGTAATTATGAAAAAGTTTGACATTACTTACGATTTCTTCCCATGGTATCACTGGATGTTTTGTCCACTTGCGATTTCGTAAATGTATTACCCTTTGATTCGTTCGACCCTTCATAATTCATTTGCAGAAAGTCACAGTCCATTTCGTCTTCTCCATCCAAACAATTTGCTTTTCCATCGCAATGATTTTCTTCTGGCAAACAATTTTTCAGGCCTGTTTGACAGCTAAATCCTGGACAACTATCCAAGGGTTCATTTTCGTAAAAGTTTGCCGTGGAACTATCTGCAAGGTCTGCATATTTTAAGTATTGAAAACAGGCCTAAATAGAAAAGGGCTTAATATTTTCAAATTTTTGAAAAGATTTACCTAAAGCTTCAAACGTTTGCTGAATCCAATCCACATAATAACTCACTTTCATGTAAACACCGGGCTCATTTGGACGGCCACATCCATCACCGTGACTGATTAGGCCCGCCGCGTACCACTGCGACTCCAAATTCGGATTTCTATAAGAAGTTTTAAAGAAAATTTTTTATAGCAGCAATAATAATTTATTATATAATAAATTATATTATTATTTTATCATACATATAATATATTTAATACTATTGTAATATGATTATTATATAATTATAATTGTTATAATTATTCTTTATTATATAATAATAAATTATTATATAATAAATTTATATAAATTTATAGCAACAATAATAAATATGATTTTTTTCATGTTTCATCTATTCATTGTTACCTGCACATTAAAGGACCACCACTATCACCTTGACAGGCATCGCGACCACCCTCAGGATATCCCGCGCAGATAGTGGCGTTGTTCTGATCGAGTAAATATTTACACGATGGCAAAATCGGTACTTCCACTTCTCGCAAATGATCCGCTAAAATCAAATTTTGTTTTTTAATAATCGGACAAATATTTACACGATGGCAAAATAGGCATTTCCATTTTTAGCAAATGATCCGTTAAAATAAATCTTTGTTTTTCCAGCGTAAAACAACAGCTCATATATTTTTGTATATATTTGCATATGCTTAAAATATTTTCGTGATATACGCAAAATTATCGCTGCTTAAACGTTATTAATTATTATTCTGATTATTGAAAAAAATTCATCTTACGATCTGGTCCATATTCTTTTAAGGCTCCCCATCCGACAGCAATGCACATGGATTCAGGCGACGGCCCTTCTTTCCATTCGGGACCTGCGGTATTTAATGCCGGTAAACAAACTTGGCGAACCCATCGATTGAAAAAAAGAGGTTTGTCCAAGGTGATCACTGCAATGTCGTTTCGCATCTCGTTTTTTTCATAGCCGGGATGAATAACGATAACTTTCGCTTTTCTTAACTGCGCCATCGGTGAAAATGACAATCGCCTGAGTATGCCGGCTTGTATTTCGTAATAATGCCCTTCATATCTGAAGAGAATTATCAAAAATTTAAAACGTATCAGAAGTTTAAAATTTAAAATTACAAACTTAAAATTTAAAATTTAAAATTTTAAATCAATATGAAAGATGTATACGTCCAATACGATCATTTGTTGTTGCTTATCTGTTTCATAAAGCCGCGTCATCTTTGAAAATGGCCTTACCCGTCCATGCAGTGACCCGCGGTGAGAATGTAAACTTCACTGAGAATGACACCGCCGCAATGAAAGTAACCGTCTTTAGAAATGGTAACCAGGAAGGGCCAGGCTCTAGGCTGACTTGCTCGGCCGCCGACGACTCGCGATTGCGATCCAACGAGAGTATCATTCTGATTTTGCATCTTCTCCTTGAGCACTGATTGACTTGCTGGGTCCAGCAGACCCAGAGTCTCCCGATAGAGCTTATTAAACTCGGAAGTGGATTGTTCTTCCACGTGCCGCCTGGACACATAATTATTCCTCATCGTATTGAAGCCAAGAGAGAAATCCTTACGCGGGACGACTTTGGTGCCACAAGGTAACGGTGGACACCTGACGAACACCGCTGTACCCGGACACGACGTCACTTGTACATCATTATTATTGGTTTCTGTCACGTAAGGATCTCGGAAGACATCCTGTGGCACCTGAACGGTCTCTATAAACGGCATCATTCTGCAAAGATGCATCAATTTGACGAGAATAATTTGCGAGTATATTTTTCAACTCAGGTCCGGTTGCATTAATGTTATCTTGGTTTTAAGCGAAACTTAGGCTTATATCCGTCTTTATTTATTTAGAAAGAAAGATAAAGCCGGATACAAGTCTCTCTTAAAGTTAAAATAACGTTGATGCAACCGGGCCTTAGAAATTTAATTAATCTTATAATATTTTATGCCATTTTTAAATGCGCGATTAATATAGATATCTTGCGCATGGATAAAATTAGAAATTATTATGTGTATGAATGACGCACGTTAGCGGTCGACCAATTTCCGAAGCGCAAGCATCCATCGCCCAAGAAGATGTTTTTGAGCAAACAGGATACCACTGTCCTCGTACATTCTTATGCAAATATCCCTGAGTATAACCAATCGTAAAAGTCTACAAACAAAAAATACATGACAAAAGAGATAAATCGAGAAAGTTTCATCATAAATCTCATAAATTTAACTAATCAGTAAATATGTAAATAAGATACATCATTTGGATCCATGTAAGATTCTGAAAGTATATTGCAGTCGAGTTCGTCCTTTCCATTAGGGCATTGTTGAATCCCATCACAGCGTTGCAAAAGTGGTATGCAATTTTCGCGATTGTAACGCATGTCCCAATCGTCACAACTGAAAGAGTCTACTGGACAGCCTAGAAATAAAATATTTTAATTTAAGAGGGTGCATTTTTCAAAATTATATTTTTTTTATATTTAGGTGAGATTTATATTTGTGTTCTTTTTTTTAAGAAAAAAATATGTTGTATTAAATTTATACTTTATCGCGCGATATAATTATATTTAAGCCTGATTGCACCAACATTTTGGCTTTAGGCCAAAAAGAGACATATAAATATATGTCTGTCTTTATTTATTTAGAAAGAAAGACAAAGACAGATATATATTTAAATATTGCTTAAAGCTAAAATAACGGTATAACCGGGCCTTAATACAAGCCGCTACCGCGAAGAAAAGTTTTTTTGTAGGTAAGGTAGCTTTCGTAAATTAAACCAGTATTTAGCGTCATCTAGTGGATGACAACAGTAATATATATATATATATATATATATATATATATATATAAATTATATTATATATATGTAAATTGTGTAAAAAAAATATATATATATATATATTTTTATAATAAAAAACTTTTTTATTTATGTAAAATATGCGCATTTAAAAGATATTCAATAGAATATCTGCATTTTATACCAAAACAGCCGAGCTCGTCCTCTCCATGTGGACAATCAAAATAACCATCGCAAAGTCGATTTCGTGATATTCGATCTCTGCAGGAGCACTTTGTCTCGTCGCTGCCATCGCTGCAATCGACTCGACCGTCGCACCATTTCACCTTCAGGACGCAGAATTGATTATCGCACTGACGATAATGTGCGGAACATTTATTAAGCAGTTGCTCTGAAACAATTATTATGAAAGATAATGTTTTTGCACTTTTTCAGAAAATTTTTGATTTAATTTTGACTCACAATTAACATTTTCCAAACAAATAAATATAATTTAATTTTCAATAATTTAAAAAAGGAAATTATAGATGACATAATTTAAAAGAATCCTCGCAGGAAATCTGCGAGACTTCGCTTACGTGGATAATACGATTGCCGCGTGATAAACTCATTCTCCTGAGGTAATTTTCGCGATCCTTCTGGAAGGTCTTTCGCTTTGTCGGCAGAGCGATCAGACGTGCCAGGGATCGACGAAAAGTGAACGGTCGGCAGTGATATATAACCGCAAAAATACGGCATGTTTGCAATCGGCTGCTGATTCAGCGAGGAAATCGGTGCATTTGACATGCCAGGTCCTGTAGGACCGATGCCTTGTCCCCTCGGCTGAGCCAAATTGCCGACGTAGTTAACTTTCGGCAAAAATTGCATTGTGTTCGTCTGCTCTTGCTTGTAGTTCGGTGACGTGGAGTCTTGGTGATTCTGGAACGGAAATCCGCGACTTTGCGCGGAGGAAGGATCGAACGGGGCCGGATAAAACACGCCTGATACCGGCGTCTTGAAGGACTGATCAGGATTGCCGAAGAAACAAACCGGATGCGGCATGGTCCACGTTGTAGGAGTTTGTTGTAGTTGCCGATGTGATGTCCCGCTCTTTGCTGGAATGGCTTTGCCATCGTCCTTCGTCTGGAAGTTGTCGGCCGACATGATGATTTGCTCATAAGAACGAAGATTTTCCATTGAACTCGATTCGACTGTAACCATCACGTGTATCTCTTTTAGGAATTTTCTTTATAATTATTTCAGAAGTATTTAGTATTTAGATAGTATTTTGTGTTTTACGGAGAACAGAGATGTTGGAAAAATTATGACAGTCTGGAAAAATTTAATATACCTCGCCTCTGAATTACAAGTTACATACAACTTCTACCTCTATTTCATTTAAAGTCATGTCGAGTATCTTATGTTATGAATTATGAATACCCTCAAGACTTCCTTAGCTTACATGACCCTGGGAATTATACAAGCCATAGTAAATTGAATTCCTATGTGTTCCCGTATTACAAATATTTTTCTACAAACTTCAAAAAAAGAGAGTATCCGAATAGGGGAGGTGGCGGGGTGGAGAAAAATCAGCGGGGAGGACAAGGAGGTGGCACGTAGTGCTTAAAATAACGTATCCGTAGGGTAAATATTGGTATAAGTAGCGCTCCCCGATCACGATTTAATTATTTCCTCTACTTCCTCTCTGTGTTCTTCCCGTACCACGTACCGTCCGTCTCTACGGCCAATCGATTTTCCGGGTCCCGTCCCTCGGACGAAGGACGCGACGAAGGATGCACCGTGTCGCCGTCGATTCCGGTCACGTCGTATCCTGCTGGCACACTCGTCACGTTTTCAGTAATCGCGGTCTGCGTCCTAAGATCGACGGTAACCGGTGTCTCGGTTGTTCCTGCTGACTTGATCGCGATTGTGGTTTCCGTAGATTGCCCGTCGTTTCCAGTAACGATGTTATACCGCGTGCTTGACACCGTCGTAAACGACCACGTCTTTATCGTCGTGACGTCTTTGCTTTCGGCTGTTACACGGTGTTGATCGACGCTCGACGCGTCGGGGACGCTTTTATTATTTTCGGTTTTTATCGCGTCTGAATTTACTGGACTACCGTCCGGCTGCTTGTCGTCGATCATTGAGCTGTTATTAATCGCAGTTTCGTTTACATATATCCGCGGTATTCCATCGCGGATATCTGTAGGCTCAATTAACGTGGTTTCTGATACAGCAGTAATGTCCTTCAACGACTGACTCGCGGCATCTTGCGATAGGTTGCTCATAACTGTGCTCGTCTTTACCGCCTGGATTTTTGTCGCTTCCGTTCGATTAACTTCCACTTGCTTTGGGCCATTTTTATCCTCTCTGTCATCCAGTAATTTGATAACGGCGATGCCGGAATCGCTCGAGCGATTTTGCTCAGCGTAGTCGTGTGGGAAGTATTGGTCTTTCGCGCGAGGCGTATGATCTTCGTTATGTTCATTCGATAATTCCCTGCATTTGAGACACTGCAAAATATCTGTAGTCAAAAATTTTTCATTATTCGCAGCTGAAATCTTCTTGCTGATCATTATAAGATACTTCTGCATCGTTTGCAACAACTTCTCGCAGTGCTTCGCGTTCTGATCGCAGTGCCTCTTCTTGCGAGATATATCCCGCATATCGGCGTCTCCTTCATTCATCGTTGGAAATGTATCGCTTTCTGCAACTTGTATTATCTCGTTCATAAGCTCCGCCTGATCGTTGAAAGATGAGTGATCTCCATCGATCACTCCTTCCGCTCGTGGCTTCAACAATGATCTTCTGTCGCGAGGAAAGCGCAGCTTGATTATCCGTTCCATGCGTGTTTCCGGTTGAACTGAAAGAATCATGGCTAGAAGAGATAATTTTTCGAGGACATCGACTGGAAATTGACGATTAGAAAAGCTATCGAGTGCAAATTTCTCAGAAAAAATGATATTTGTGCTATTTATCCTTACATCATATTTACTAACCTGTATCGTTATAAGTACCATATTCAAATAGAGAAAATGTAAGATTGGTGATCGTCAACAAAAGTAAGATTAATAAGATAAAAAACGATCCAGTCAAAAGAAAGTATTTGTGCCGTGTGTAAAAGTTTGATTGGCTACGTTCGCTCGACTTCGTTTTGTATTTGCCAAATGTTCCTAGAAATGTAATCGATATTAATCTTCAAATATCATGATATTATAACAAATAAAATAATATTTGCAATATACTATATTGACATTTACTGAAGAATTTTAATACAAAAATTGTACAAAGTAAATACTACAATAAATACTAAATAAATATATCCTTTTTATAATTTTTTATTATTATTAACTAATATATTTATATTAAAAAGTAAATTTATTTAATAATAATCAAATCTGTGATTTACAATTTACCTGTATTTCTCGAGTCCGTCAACACAACGCGGCACGATGAATCGATTGGAACGTCGATCATCTCCGAGGGTGGGCTTTTATGAACATGTAGTTTATTCGATTTATCCCAAAGACGCACTAATTGTTAAAAAAATTAATTAAAGACAAGATTGTTCCAATAATCAAATTTGATTTATACTATGATGTATGGATATTGTATCTGTTCATTAAATTTCAAATACGCGACGTACATTTTCAAGGCACTTACTTTCGATTAAACTCTATGTTGTTCGTTGCAATGTGTGCCGTAGGAAATTCCTGGCTTTACCGATGTTCACACGGGATCACGTCGGCGACGACTAAGAATTTGATAGGCAGAGTCATTCTTCATAACAACGTGTCAGCGAAAAATTGCTGACTACTTATTTCGTCTCCTGTTACGTCCGTGTGAATGAACCCTCTTACACGCATTTCAACAAGTGTCACTGCCGCAAAGTTTGCAAAAACTCTGTGAATGGAATTCTTGGCTTCCATAGCAAAAAACTGAATTCAAAATGTTGATTTCATCAGCAAACTTAATACGCAAATTAAGTGACCCCTTATTGTTACTGACTTGTGAGATTTTAAGTCCCCGCGTCTTGTGCATCTTTCTACGTTTTAAGAGAAACAACGTTTGCGATTAATGGCACTCATTTTTAAGCGAAAAATTTCTCCTTGGAAATTCTCTGTACCCCAATGAGAAACTATTACTCTTCATTGTGAAAAGTTCTGCAGCTTGTGAAGTTATTTCTATCTACCTAGAAAAAAGAAATAAAATACGATGATATTCGTTCTTTTTTGAGTGAAAAAAAATTAGCTTGAACAAAGGAATTTTCCGCAGGAAAAATAGTTTCTATTAAAAAAGGAATTAACATGTTTTTATTCATGCTTTTTGTCTTCCAAGCGATGAATTACATATGTACACATATTAT